TTGGGGAGGAAAGCCGCCCAGGCTGGCCTCCCACGTGGCGGCACTCCCGTCCCCGTGCGCGCCCTGGTTTGAGGCAGTGGAGACGTCCAGCACGTGGGCCTTCCAACAAAGCTGTGAGGTGGGTGCCCTTGGCGCCGTGTGTCCAGGACCCTTCCCAACCCTGCCGACGCCAGTGGTGGCCGGGACTCCCCACAGCTGCTTGTCCCGTCCTCAGCTGGCACCGCCACCAGGGGCATCCGTGTTGTCCCAGCAGCCACAGGGATCAGGGCTACGCCTGCGTCAGTCCCTGCAAGTTCGGGGTGGGAGCGTCCGCGTGGCCACTCACGTGCCAGCGCCGGTCTCAGAGATTTAGAGAACAGGCGCCCGGCCCGCAGGCGTGAGCGCGTCTGGAAATCCGCGGCCACGTCCGAGGCCCGCGCGGCTCCGAGGCATCAGGGTAAAGCAGGCGCGCAGTAGAGCCTCAGGTGGCAGGAGTCGCACCCTGCTGCCTCCGGTAAAGCCGGGGACCAGTATTATTTGCACCTTTTTTATGTGGAAATTCAAGAATTTTTTATTTAAGAAGCTATTTTCGTAGCTGAAACACTTCGTAGAAAGAGAAAACAAGGCTCCCCTGGCAGTTCAGCGGTCCCTGCGTCCTGGCGCTGCGCCTCCGAAAGCAGCCGGCGCTCGCGCCCAGGGTATCGGGAAACGTACGCGGAGTCCGACCCCGCGAGGCCCATTGCCCTCGGCACCCGGGAGCCAGCGCTACACTTAGGTCGCGCTGACCGTTCCCTGACGGGTCAGGTTCTGCGCCTCCGTCAGGGAGACGCACGTTGCTGTTTCTCCGGAGGAGTATCGGCGGGTCCTGCTGGGACTAACTGCTGCTTCCTGGAGGATTTACACTCACGCATAAAACATGTCTGCGTGTTCGCTGGCGCAGGCCTGATCGACCCTTTTGTCTTCCAGACCTGCTGAGCGCCGACCAGGACTCTGGGCACCGCCCCGGGGCACCAGCAGCGGCTCCGTGGTGGCGGCCACCCTCGTCCCCTTCTTCGCTCTGATCCTGTCAGGGTTCGCCTTCTACCTCTACAAACACAGGTACGAGCGCGCAGAGCGCGTGGGTCGGAGGGCTGCGCGCCCTCCCTCTCACACGCACGTGAACGTGGCGTAGCTGCACGGTGTGCGGCCTGGCCCGCAGGCCTCACCCGTGGGGCTGTGGTTGTCCGTTGCCCTCTGACCTTCCCCGTGAGCCCCTCCGAAAACCAGCCGCGGGGGAACCCGAAGCGGGGTTGCAGGTAGCCAGCTCTGTCTCCGGCTCCAGCGAGGGAGCTGGATTTCCGTTCCGGGCGCCCGGGTCAGCTACTGGGGCGTTTCCAGGGCTCCGCGAAATGCGACTTAAAAAGTGTCCATTCACTTCTCCCCTTAACAGATACAAAGAAAGTCCTTACTAGGTGCGCAGCAGTGCCACACGCTCCTCCGGTGAGAAAGTGGTGCAAGTATCGGCCCACTGGCATGGGTCTCCCAACAGGAAGATGGCAAAAGTTCAAAAAAAAAAAAAAAACTTAAATGGAATTGATTCTTTCCTTGCCATTGGCATGGAGGCCAAAAAAAAAAAAAAGCAAAACTAAATTTTGAAGAAATAACAGATTCACTTACATTTCCTCTCTGTGGAAAAATGCGTCACCTGGAGGCATTTGGCCCACACCAAGGTTCTTAAATTCCTTGGACTCTAACTAGCATTCCTACAGGTAATGAAAATAATTACGATCCTATACATAAGGTTTAGGTATGTTAAATGTGCCTTCTGTTTATATATGTGTTGCAGATATTTCTACATATCCGGGCAAGCAAAAAACAAAAATACAGAAAATACTAGTGTGTGGAGGTTTGGAGGCTATTTTTAATGACTAATGGAAAAGGTTTCACTGTGTGTCTTCAGGCTTTTCTTGAAACATAAAATGGGAAGGATGTCACTTCACAACCATGTTCTGGTAGCTGCTTGCAAGCGAGCCCTCGATTTTCTGTGGTTGGTGCGCTCTTGCTATAAAGATGGGGGCCGGGGGGTCTGAGATGGTCTCCCCACAATCGAAGACTGACGCTTCTGTGTCAAGGAGTGTTTTAGAGAGAAGAAACCCTACGCACATGAGTCTGACGAGCCTTATTCTCACATTTCCGTTTGGAACTAGATGAAAATTTAATAAATGTAGAACTAGGTCCCACCACCGTCTGCAGAAAAATCCGTCACTTCTTCCAATCCCTCATTGGAAGAAAAATCCATCATTGGCTTCTCATTACGTCAGTCACAAATGTCTCTTCCTTCACAAGATTCTCTAAGAAATGTAATACCCTCATGGAGACACAGGCCTGCAGGGGGGATTTATAATCCTGCAAGTGTGTTTCTGCTTCGGTGGCGTCCACATTAACCCCAAGGACTTGATGTAGCTCAGGAAATTCTTTTTCTCTCCTTTTGGCTTTTTGCCTGTGGATGGGGGGCTTCCCTCCAGGGTCTCCTGGATGGGCGGCAGCACAGACATTTACATGAGTCATAAAATGTTTTCAGCCTGTCCTTTATCCTTTATTTTCTTCTCTTATCCTTTAAAAGCATACATACGCTCAGGGAACTGTATCTACTCACACGTCAGTTAAACATTCCATTGTTTAATGGGCAGGGCAAGTCACGGATTTTACCGTGTTTGGGGGGGGGTCCCTGTGTCCCGAGGCATGAACAGCTGTGATTGTCACGATTCGTGAACAGCTGACCCAGGAGGAGTGGTCACATGCAGAGCAGCGACGTCAAACCTGGCGGATTTCTTAGTGGCTTGCCTTAAAGTCAGTGGGAGTTTTGTTCCACCTTCAAACCAAAATCTGGCCTTTATTTTTATGATAAAAAATGTTAAGTTCTTTCTGCAAAGGTTTTTAAAGATTTTATTTATTTTTTATACTTATTTATTTTTAGAGATAGGGGAAGGGAGGGAGAAAGAGAGGGAGAGAAACATTGATGTGTGGTTGCCTCTTGTGCGCCCCCTACTGGGGACCTGGCCCAAAACCCAGGCACCTGCCCTGACTGGGAATGGAACTGGTGACCCTTGGGTTTGCAGACCTGTGCTCAATCCTACTGAGCCACACCAGCCCAGGCAGATTTTATTTATTTTTTCAGAGAGAGGGGAAGGGGAGGGAGAAAACTTCGATTGGTTGCCTCTCCCACACCCATGACCCAGCCTCCAACCCAGGCAGGTGCCCTGCCTCGGAACTGAACCAGTAGCCTTTCGGTTCACAGGCTGGTGCTCGATCCACTGAGCCACCCCAGCCAGGGCACTTGCTGTAAACTTTCTCAACACTGGAAAATGACCCCCAAAAGTCCCCTCTAAAGGAGCATTTCAAACACCAGCCTTGAAGAAGGCCCAGAAGCAGCTCTGGCTCCTCCGGCCCTCGCAGCCGGGAGCGGCTGCCTTTCTTCCGCCCGAGTCTGGGCGCTGAAAACCAAGCGCTTCACGTGTGCCAGGCGGGGGCCCAGCAAGCGAACGTCCTGCGGTTAAATGGAGTGAAGCCCTAATTCTTCAGAGAGTCAGCTTATTGTGAAATGTAAAGCAACCAATAAAAATAAGCCCCACGGTTGCTTCAAAGTAACAACATGTTAGGAGGCGGGGTCTCTGGGCATCAGCAAATGTGTCCGGCTGCTGTGGGTCAAAGACCCACTAGGCAGCACCCACGGTTCCAGAAAGGCACAGCGTTCAGATGGCCTCTCCACAGGTTTGCCCGTTTTCACCTCATGGATGACGCAGCAGAAGTTCAGAGAAGTTAGTTCATCTGCCCAAGAATGCACAGCCAGGCAGTGCTTGTATTAGAAGTCAGTTTGCTCTTTTCTCAACATTCTTTTTTTACCAAAAAAAAGCATATATTTTTTACGTGATGAAATTCATCAATGTTTTTCTTCTGCAGTTAAAATTTTTCTCTCCTTCTGTCAACATTTCTTGCCGCGGTCCAGCCGCAGCGGGTCAGGGGGTCCCACAGGTGAGGGTAGGCGTCGGCGCTGGGTAACAGACGACAACACGCCTCAAAGGACAGTGAAGCTCTGTTCCGTTTATTGAAAGTACAAGCAGGTTTTTATAGTTTTCATTTCAGGTAGTGATTAATATTTGCAGTATAACATGATTATTTGAGCAGAAAAAATCAATACAAAGGCAATCAGTAAAAGTACAAAAGTTCCCAGAGATTCAGTTAAAAATTATTTTAACTAGGAGAGCCATTAATCAGACAGTTAAAAATATCTTATTGTATATTAAAGTTTCTCAGAATTTGGTATAGGGCATAAGGATACACTAGACTGAGTAGAGAAAATAGGAGATTTATTATAAAGCCCTCGTGATGTCTAACTTAGCTATCTACCTTCTTTTTGCTTAAAATGTTTTTTCAGTGTACCATAAATTCTGACTCCCTAGTGACTATTCAGTTTGTAATAACTAACTAGCTTTTCTTATTACTTTGCCTGTTTAGTTGATATATATTCCTATTCAAGGTAAAGGAGGGGCTGTTCCTATGTAGCAGGGGGCTTTCAAGGGTACTTCTTTTAAGTTTCTCTAGGGTTCTTTTATAGACATGTTTTGTACTTTAATTCCTTCTAAGAAAGTAGTGAGATTATCTCATGATTTCCTAGAGTATTCTATCTTATCTTGGGTGTTTTTCTAATGATTGTTATTAAGCTTGAATTCTCAGATTGTTCTGATTGTTTCCTTGTGCCTATATTCCCTGACGTTCTAGTATGATATTATTATTCTGTTCATTGAGCTGGGAAAGGTCCAGGCACACTATCTGAATCACTGCCAGGGTATTCATAATGATTAAAGCAAAAAGGTCATGATCTCCAAAGCAAGCACAATCACAATAGGTATTGCAGTGCCTTCCATGCCACGTCCACCAGGTTGGAAACTGCTTCCTTGAAGTCTTACACCCCCTCTCAGGACCTTGTCACGGAGAGAGGGATCCAACAGTGGACCCGGCAGTGGACGTGGCAATTTCTGTGTTTCATGTGGTTAGCAGTTAGCGCAGTTAAGAATCGTAGGGGAAAAAAAACCCTCCGTACCCGCAGGTGGGACAGTTCGGGAATTGCGCCTGCGTTGCGCCTGCGCGGTCAGCAGTGAAGCTGGGATGGGGAGCGCCGCTAGAGTCCCTGGCCTTTGTCCCGCACGCTGACCTGCTCGCAGCTGAGCCTCCCCCTCGCGTGACTGTCGGTCCACCTGCACGACGGGTTGGGGCCTGAGTCCAGGAGTCTGTCTCCCGCCTCGGCCCCTCAAACCCTGGAGTTTTGCTCCCCTCCCCGCCCCGTCCCCCGGCCCCTGGCAAGGGCCTGCTCTGCGTCTCTGAGGGTGAGAGCGATTCCGCACGTCGGGTGGCCAAGGAAGAGCAGAGACGGAGTCGGACACCTGGCCCCTGAGAAGGGAGCTCGGACGCCCCCTATTCCCTGCAGGGGGTCTGCAGATTCCAGTGTTTCTGCACACACTCCAGGTGCTAGTGCAGCGCGGACGGTTTTCTCTTGAGAGGCCCCGGGCCTCCAGCTGCTTCGCCAGAGACACCAGGGGCCGGGACTCCAGGTGAGTGCGCTGCAGGCCTGGGGAGGGACTCGGGCCTCCCTTTCTCGGCTCCACGGGCACCTGCCCACGGAGAGGCGAGGGTCTGAAGCATTAACAGAGGTTGTTTTCCCAAGACTGCAAAGGGTTACCGTTTTTGAAAATGTCGAAGAAATGGAAACAAGCCATTTTATCTTGTTTGTTACTCAGTGGCAAAGGTGTGCGCAGAACAGGCGCCCCCTGGTGCCCATTCGGGGGAATTTCAGCGGGCCCCTCTCGGGATCAGCTGGGAGAGCAGGTCTCAGTGTTCTCCCCAGGGACCCACGGACGGGAAGCCGCGGAGGAGCTAGGTCCTCACGGTGGCAATGTTTCGCAATCCATGTGTATCGAACCAGCCGGTTGTCTCCTCAAGCCCGCGCAAGGTTACAGGCCAGTTGTATCTCCACGGAGCTAACTGTTCCCTCGAGTGAGCAACTCCCGGGAGAGCGCAGCCCGGGAGCAGGTGAAGGCGGTGGTGGGGAGAAATGCAACACACGGTGGTGCGTGGGCGGCACCGAGTTGCAGGATTGGGAGAAGACCTGGGAAGTTCAGCGTGAACCCGGAGCTCAGGGTTAGGTCTGGGGAAGAAGCATCCCCCAGACCTCAGCGAAAGGCTCCCGGGGGGGTGACTGGGCATAAGGGGAGGAAAGGGAAGGGCTGGTGCCAGAGCCTGGTTCTGCCACGGGGGCCTGAGAGGACGAGGAGGGACGCGAGAGGAAGGGGCTTGCGCTACGCCTCGCACGATTCTCCATCCTGGCCTTTGCCGGCCCTGTGAATCCGCCCTGTGCCGATTCACACAGTGGGATCCGCGCCCCCAGACTGGATAGACAGCCCGCGCAGGGGCCTGCTGTCTGGTCGCGGTACCGACCTCAAACCTGACTGGGTCATCCCCACAGGAAAATTGGGAACGCTGGTTTCGGGCCGGGTCTCTCTGTTGTCTTAGTTCTCAGAAACCAGCAGAAGAATACCAGGGAGGGACGCTTCATAAATAGTCTCTCACCCTTAGGTGAGGAAGGGCCTGGGTCCGTTTAAAGACCTTATTATTTCTCCCGGATCGGCATGACTTTCTCCTCCATTGTTCCTGGAAGTTCAAGTGCATCGGAAAAGCCTCGCTAAACTTGGATCATTTTTTCTGCTTGATAAGCTATATGCTGAAAGATTAAAGAGAGTATCAGGAACAGAAAATAGGGTTCAAAAAGATATTCAAATATAGCTCTTAGAAGCAGAAATTGGACCAGCCAGTGATATAAAAAAATAATCCGGATTAAGGTTTGTTCTCCACCAGGTGTTGGTGTTTCTTATCCTAGAAAAAACGCCCAGACTGGCCCCAACTAACCCTGCGCAGCTTCAGCACCAGCTCGGCGTATCGAACGCATTCACCCTCCAGGTATTAGCAGAGCACCTGCTGGCAGTCAAAGGTCAGAGTAGAGCCAGAGCGCTCAAAACAAACAGAGTGGGGTGCAGGCTCCCAAGAAAGCCATAGATCAAGCAGAGAGGCAGGTGCGTAAAGAAAGACACAGCTGCAGCTGAGAACAACAGAAATGCCTTTCTGTGTCCGCACACAGGGTCCTCAGGGGGGGACTGTCCCAGGGGCTGCCAGCTATGGCAGGGGCACTTCTTTCATCGTGGCCCTCGTGCCTTTGATTCCTCCGTAGATGAGTCACACTCACATCAATATGCAAATTCTACTCCCTCGGTGGCTCCCTCCAGCAACTTTTTGGCTTCTGAACCCTGAAAAATATAGACCCTGGGTATTTGGGGCATCCCTAGAGCTCACATGACACATGCTTCCAAGGTTGTCCATTTCATGTATTCTGGGATGTTTCTCAGCTTCTCTGGAAACTTGTTTTTTATTTTTTTAATTTATTTTTTTAAGATTTTATTTATTTATCTTTAGAGGGGAAGGGAAGGAGAGAGGGAGAGAAACATCAATGTGTGGTTGCTTTTCATGCGTCCCCTGCTGGGAACTGGCCTGCAGGGAACCGGCCTGCAACCCCGGTATGTGCCCTGACTGGGAATTGAACCGCAATTGTCTGGTTCACAGGCCCACGCTCAATCCACTGAGCTACACCAGCCAGGGCTTTAATTTATTTTTTAATTGATTATGCCATTACAGTTGTTCTGTTCCCCCCTTCATTCCCCTCCACCCTACCGCCCATCCCCACCATTACCCCCTCTTTAGTTTATGACCATGTGTCTCAAGTTCTTTAGATTCTATATTTCCCATGCTATTCTTGCCCCCCATCTATTTTCTATCTACTGTCTATGCTACTTATTTTCTGTACCTTCTCCCCCCTTCTCCTCCTCCCACTCCCCTGTTGCTAACCCTCCTTGAGATCTTCATTTCTATGTTTCCACTCCTGATCTAGCTGTCCTTTTAGTTTGCTTTTGTTTTAGGTGTGGTTGTTCATAACTGTGAGTTTGTTGTCCTTTCACTGTTCATGTTTCTTTAACTTCTTTTTCTTCGATGAGTCCCTTTAACATTTCATATAATAAGGGCTTGGTGATGATGAACTCCTTGAATTTGATCTTATCTGAGAAGCACCTTATCTGTCCTTCCATTCTAAATGAAAGTTTTGCTGGATAGAGCAATCTTGGTTGTAGGTCTTTGGATTTCATGACTTGGAATACCTCTTTCCAGCCCCTTCTTGCCTGTAAGGTCTCTTTTGAGAAACCTGCTGACAGTCTGATGGGGACTCCTTTGTAGGTGACTGTCCCCTTAGCTCTTGCTGCTTCTAGGATTCTCTCCTTCATTTGAATCTTGGCTAATGTAATTATGATGTGCCTTGGTGTGTTTCTTCTTGGGTCCAACTTCTCTGGGACTCTCTGAGCTTCCTGGATTTCCTGGAAGTCTATTTCCTTTGCCAGATTGGGGAAATTCTCCTTTATTATTTGTTCAAATAAGTTTTCCACTGGTGGCTGTTCCTTTCCCCCTTCTGGTACTCCTATAATTTGGATGTTGGAGCATTTAAAGATGTCCTGGAGGTTCCTAAGACTCTCCTCATTTTTTGAATTCTTGCTTCTTGACTCTTTTCTGTTTGGCCATTATTTGCTTTCTTCTGGTCCACTCCATTGATTTGAGTCCCAGTTTCCTTTTCATTGCTATTGGTTTCCTGTGCAATTCCATTCATTTCAATTAGTTTCGCCTTCATATGTTTGTCTAATTTGTGGCTATAATCAACTAGTTCTGTGAGGATCCTGATCACCAGTGTTTTAAACTGTGTGTCTGAGAGTTTTGCTATTTCTTCATCACTTAGATTTATAGGCTCTGGAGCTTTGAGGTCTTGTGCCATTTTTGGTCTGTTTGCGCCCATTAAGTATGAGGAGTGGAGCCTTGGACTCCCAGGTCGCTGGGTTGTGACGCTGTATGTGGGGGCGGGGTCAGAGCAGGGAAATGGCGGCCCCCTCTGCTGTTTCTCACAGCTGGGTGAAGAGCAGAGCCTTAGGTGTTCACCGGGGCAGGGCCACTTAGGTCGCTGGATTATGATGCAGTAAGGCTGAAGGATTTGTTGTTATCAGACTTCCAAAAAGTTCAATTTTCTGTGTTCTGGCTGTGTTTTCTGTTGCTATTATTTAGTTGTCTCTAAACTTGGTTGTGTGAGGAAGCACGGCATCTCCACCTATGCCTCCATCTTGGTGGAAGTCGAAACTTGTTTTTTATTTATGGCTCATCTAGAGAGAAATGCTCTCCCTGGGCTTGCCTTTTCCCTCATGACTGCAGACTGGCTGCCTTTGCTCCAGCCATCACAGCCACGTCAAAGGCCGACAAGCCCAATGTGTCGAGTAGGAGAGGACTGGCAATGGCCACACTTTTGTATTAAGAAAGCCCCAAATTTCATAGCAGCTGCACGTGAACTCAATGAACAGCTCACACTGGGTCCTTTTTTAAAGGTTTTACCTGTTTTCTAATGTTGAGGACTTTAGAGGAGGTCTTAGAAGAGTCATCGCCACAGAATACTCTGCTTCCCAGGACCAGGAGTGTCATTGATGTGCTGATGCAACAAAATGAGCACACAGAGTGATCAGGGTCCTGCTCTGGTGACTTTCTCCTTCAGAAAAGTCACCAGAGAAGGGCTGGGATTGAGGTGGGTCTTCCCCTGTGTGGTCTGGAATGTGTGAACCATTTGCTCTCAAATGTCCTTGATCAGGGAAGATAAAGTCCTCAGATTTATTACCTGGCTGTAAATTGCTAGGCCTTATTTAGCTATCAAACTCACTTTTTCCATTCCACTTGCCAAGGAATTTTCCTATTTTTTTTTACAAACCTACCTCAACTCCATACATTTGTAGATTCATATTGGTATTGAATTTGTCAAAATGGTCTTCATTCCACACTGCCAGCTTTTCAAAACTGTGGGGAATTAAAAAGAGATTATTTTCCACAAACCTTGTTGACTCTAACACCTGTGTGATAATTAAAATAACATAAGATATAATCTTGTATCATAAGATCGATACAAGATACTCAAAATTTAATACCTGCATGAGTACAAATGAATACCAGACAATGAGGTCATATCAGCTGTACAGGACCTTTGGGAGTCTGGGGAAACAGGGTCTTATAGAGGTAAGATGGGTGATAGAGACAGAAAATTTATGAAAAGTGCAACCTTCATGGGATGTTACTTTTTGATAGGCAATCCTACAAACTATAGGATGCAAGCTAAACTAATAAACTTTTCTGAATTTCATTAACATAATCATTCAGTTGAAAATAGGTTGCTCTGCTAAAATTGTTAAATCTTGTGGCAACAGCAGTGGACACAGCCTGGGAGAGAGACCAGCTGCCAGGAGGACCTTGCATCGCCCACAGGGGGTCAAAGGTCTGAGCATCTCTGTCCAGTGTAGTGTGGACTGTCTTCCTCTGCCTGCAGCCAGTGGAGTGCAGCAGAGCCCACGAGTACAAGGCAGGTGACCGTGAAGCCACAACCAGGAGGCGAGCCACAGCTGCACAGGTGGGACAATAAGATTTGTCATCTCAAGTGACACATGACATGGCAGCACAGAGCCACACTTGGGACATTTTCAAAGGAACCATCCTGTGCTAGGGCAAGTTTTAACAAACTTCAAAGGACTGAAATTATATACAGTATGTTTCTTTCTGTCATTACTGTTAACATAGAAATTAGGAACAAAAGTTAACTAGTTAATCCTTATATATAAAACTTACTAAATACATGTCTAAATTACATTGCAATCAACATTCATTGATATTCTGCTACAGTCACCACTTTTCCCACTCACCTGCCACTAACATGTTATTCCCAAAAGGCCCACGAGATGGCAGCAGAGATGCACACTTGGAATGCTACCACTTCCTTAGCCAAAAGTTTCATTAGATTTTTAGGTAAAGACACGATGAAACAGACGTGTTTCGTTTTCACCAATAATTTTACTGAACAACGTATTCATCATTTTGGCCCACTGCTTTCTGTAGTCTTTCAGGCACTTTCATAATTCCATCTTCCCAAAAGTTTTTATCTTTTGGGAAAACCAATAAAAAGCCAGTTTCAACAAGCAACGCAGCATTGAAATTATATACGTTTCTCTAAGTGCTATTATTGCACTTAAGCTACAATTAATTATAAATGGGTGACTGGAAAGGCCTTATATTTGGTAATTATGTAATACATTTCCAAATAACAACAAAAATACAACAACTTGAATTATAAAATAAACAAAATGGGGATAAAGATACCACATACTAAAACTTATGAAAAACACCTTCACCCTTAAATGCATAGTCTCAAAAATGAAAGCTGAAAATTTACAACCTTTGTGCCCATACTTATAACCTAAAATAGTAAGTGAAATGCAGACAAAGTAGACAGAAACATTCACGTCAACATATCTACAAGTGTATATACATAAAATAATGGCTATTCTTTTTAACTCTTAGGTAGAAGTTTGAATAAGTGTTTTCTCATTGTTTAAGTAAGCAGCCACAAAGTAAGTTAAAATGCTTTTCACCCACACTTGGAACTTTTTAAAAAAAGGACTACATTTAGCTATAAAGCAGGCTTCAACAAATGTCTCACAAGCTCTCTTTTGCTTGTGAGAGCAATGTTTATTGCTCTCTTTGCCATTAATCTGAAAACCAGTCACAAGGTAACTAGAAAGTCCCTATATTTAGATGTTTTAAAATACACTTCCAAATGCCTTCCAGAAATAAATCACAAAGTGGAAAATAATTAGCAGAGAAAAATAATAAAAATACTGTATGCCAGACCAACATCTTTCTGGTTTCAAAAATGATAAAAGCTTCAAACTGTTTCTCAACCAAAGGTGATTTTTGCCCCCAATAGTACTTAGGCAATGTACTGAGCCATTTTAGATTGTCCTGAGGGAAAAGGAAGTGAGGCTGTTGGCAGGGAATAGAGGTACTGGATGCTAATAAGCACCTACAATGCAGAGGACAATCACCCAGGAGAATGAATTCTCTGGCCCAAAACGTCCCGAGGCTGAGAATAAAAACCCCTACTCTGTATCATGAAGACTGCATTAGAATACAAACAGCATGTCCCTTTGCATCCTACATCTGAAATACTGCCAACTTGGAACAGGAAGCATGGAAGCTAAAACTTAAAGAACAAAAAAAATGCCAGCCATCTTGCCACCATTGGGGAAAAGTATTCCGGGATAGGTCAGGAGGCAAAGGAAGATCTGTCCACTTAGGAGACCAGATCACACTGTGACTACACAGAGTAGTCATCTGAGGATCCTGCTTCTTTCCATTGCTCACACATCACTTTAAGAACTGATTCATGGTGTCACTTAGAACACAGCCTTACTGTGTTAGATTCCAGATTTCACCATCTAAAGTTTCCTCTTTGAAAGTTTGGACATTTCTTACATTCTCTGTTCCTCAGATGACCTACCTGGGGCACAATGCCCATCACAAAATACTTCTAATTTCTAGAACACCGTGCTTCCAGGCCCTAAACTCATTTAAAATGCTAAGAAGGATGTTACTATTTTATTTACTCATTAATATATTCATGACTAACAAAGACAATTTTTCTAGCTCCTCACATTACCTCACTTCTTCCTGTTTTCATTCAAGTTTTAACTATTTCTAGGTCACCTACAGCTACAACCATGTAATGATCATGATTGCATGACAGCATGTTTACCTTCATAACTCATGAGAATCAACAGAAAAGTACCACAACAGAATTTAGTGCAGTGATGGGAAAATAACACGCAACAATAAATATGTAGAAATGCCAAGTTAAATATATAATTTTTTTAAAAAGACTCAGTAAAAACAAAGCAGGTAAGAAAAAAACAACCTGGGAATAAACTTAACAACAATGTACAGGATCTATATGAACAAAATTGAAAATTGCTATGCAATAACAAAAACTTTAACAAATGAAAAATGTCATCTTCTTGTGGGGCTAAAAAGTAGCTCTTTGTATATCTATTTACCAAAGTTATCTATAACTGAAATATAATCTACATATATAAGGAAAAGTGGTCTCACAGGAGGTAGTCAGCTAAATTGGACCTGACATACATACCCCAGAAAGTCTGGCCCCCCTTTGATGCTTCCCACAGGGTGGCTGTATCTGCCCCCCACAGCCCCATCACCTCAGATCCCCCACACAGCTCACCTCCTGCCCTTGGACTGCATTGCTTGCAACACGTTAGGCTGTGAGCATCACCTCATGAGCTCGGAGACCAGGAGCCGGCGGCGCCTAACCCCCAGCCCGCATACTGGTTCATCTCTCCACCAGAACTGGCCGCCCCTCACTCCTGCCAGCCTAACTATGCCTCCCGCCCAGCCCCACCCACATCTGCGGCCTGGCGACCTCTCACCTCCAGCCCACTGCAGCCTCTGACCTAAGACCCCGCCCCCATCTGTAAGTTTGATTTTTAGTGGCCCATTTAAACAAAACCAGCCAGGACTCAGGTATACTTATGGACACGCAATGTAATGAAGAAATACATTAATAGTGTATACTTTATAAAATGAAACAATACTCTGAAAAAGTTCAGAGAATAAAAGGACAAGACACAAACTGGGAGAAAATAGGAATGACCTAAAACATGGGGTGAAAAAACATCGAAAGTTAAAAAGTGGGAAAAGACACACAGTATGCTACAAAAGCAGCTTTCTGGTTGTTCACATGAATAATAATCTCATAATTATTAAATAATAACACAACATTGAGCACGGGCCTGTGAACCAAAAGACTGAGGTTCGATTCCCCGTCAGGGCACATGCCTGGGCTGCTGGCCAGTTCCCAGCAGGGGCCAGTTCCCAGTAGGGGATGCACCAGAAGCAACCATACACTGATATTTCTCTCTTTCTCTCCTTCCCTTCCCTTCTAGATAAATAAATTAAAATAACAATAATTATTAAATAATAACACAACAATCAATTTTGTTTCTTGTACTCACCCTGTCTAATGCAAACATAAACCACATGAAAATTACATACTAACATGCAATGGACTTCAAGGTAACAAGCATGGCTAGAGATGAAGGGCACTTAATATCAATGAGTTTAATTTACCAGGAAGATCCAAATTCATAATGCCATGAACTTAAATTCTATAGAACAGAGACAAATAAAAATGTATAGTCATAATAGATTTAACAAACCTCTCTCAGAAGAAATACAGCATTCCACTTTCAGAAACAAGACACCACCTCAAAAAATTAAGGATATGAGAAACACCATGAGCAGCAAATTGGATTCAACATTCACAGATAACCGACTTATACACAGCTTTTCCTGCTGGCCTGCCCTAAGGTGTTATTCCCAAAAATGACCACGAGATGGCAGAAGAGATTCACATTGAAACATTTTTTAAACTGATCATATTGTAAGGAACTTGAAAAAAATTCAAAGGATTAAAATTACACGAAATTTCTGGCTCTTGTTGTAGATAATATAGAAATCAGTTCTAAAGGTCACCAGAAAATTCTTACATTTGGAAGTTATGAAATGCACTTCTAATTAATCTTCCAAATCACAATTGGAGTTTTAAAATACTTTGAATCAAATATTATTAAAATACTTTAAAACCCTATGGGAAAATGTAGGCATTAATCTGCACATTAGGGGGAAACAGCTGAAAATTCACATGTTTTGCATCCAAACTACAAACCCAGAAAAATAAATTAAATCCTGGAAAGTAGAAGAATGGAAATAGGCAAGGAGAGATGTCTGGAAGGGGATATATTTAAAAGAATAGCAGCTATTACCTGTTTGGGTGAGATTTTGAATTCATTTTTATTTTTCTGTATGATTCTAGTAAGCTGCCACCATCAAAATCCATTCTCAGTTTGGGTAATAAAACAGTACAAGAGGAAAACATGGCATAATTTAAGAACAGTGATAACCTAGACCGCTGCGGAATCAACACCAGAGGCCTTTTCTCTGCTCTCCCAGCCCGATCTCACTCAGAGGGGCGCCTTTTCCAAAGTGGCTTCTTTGTGTGCAAATGCAGCTGAGCAGAGAGGAAATGACAGGACCAGACCTGAATCAGCAGAGCAATGCTGGGCAGCACAGCCTGAGGAGGAACTGGCCCTGGGGCTGCCTCACTTCAGGGCCCCCTCACAGCCAAGACACTTCACAACTAAGCAGCAGCACCACTGGGCTGACCCACACAGGGGCTGCTTCATGATTCACCTGGAACAACACTGAGCTTCCTAACAGCCATGCTGCACTCACACCCATTAGTACCAAAACGGAGCTATTTGCACTAAATACAGTTTCCTTCTCCCCCACACCCCAACTCTGGAACTCCTGCTGGCTTTGACTTGGAGCCAATGACCATCAGTTCACAGACACCAGATGCCACAGACAGACTCAGAACCAGACACAGGCCCTAGAGTCCAGAACCTGGGCCCCAGAGCAGACCCAGAACCAAAAGCTGAACCCCAGACCCCAGCCGCAATTCCAAAACTGTCCCCATGACCCAGGCCAGACCATCGCCCCTGA